TGTGTGTGTGTGTGTGTGTGTGTGTGTGTGTGTGTGTGTGTGTGTGTGTGTGTGTGCGTGTGCGTGTGCGACCATGCACTCACATGTGTGTGTCTGATGCTATTTTACATCAAAAACTTAGCTCGTCACTTTGCCAGCCTCCGTTCTCTTCCTCCAGAGAACAAAGTCTTCATTATCACTTGATATCCTAATCATGTTATTTTGAAAATTGTTCTTTTGAAAAATGGCGAAAAAGAGGATTTCGACAATCAGGCGGAAACATATTGTTTTCCCCAAATTCTTAAAAGGGTTTTTACTTTAACTCATCATCCATTTGCTTTCCTGTCTTTTAATTTGTGCTACTTTTGCTATGTTACCTTGGAAGACTGTTGTAGAAGGCGCTGTGGACTTTGTTCGAGGTATCTGCATTGTCAGTATTTGTTTCATGCTGCAACACACACACACACACACACACATTGATGTAGTATATGTACCTACACAGATTAGGGCAGAATTGTGGCTTTGGTAGAACACACTCTCATTCTCATTCCTTTGCTTTGAAGTCTGATTCATACTTTTGCATTAGTACAGTACTATCACAGAATAGCAGGCTCTGAGTACATTGTGAACTGTGCACGTGTGTGCTTTTCATCAAGATGAGTGAAAGTTTGAATATTAACACCTTGAATTGAACATTTCTATATATAGCACACAGCTCATTTAAAGCCATTACTGTCATTGCTTTAATGATTCCACCTGTACTTTTCCAGTACAATGAGGAACTTCATTATGTGGAACCGTGTCTGAACGGAACTCTGGTCCAAGCAGACGTCCCCAACAAAGACGTGAGTCTTTCTTTCCTTGTCTCTCATCACTTCCTCATGTGCAGTCATTTAAAAATCCTTGATTGACTGAAGCTTTGTCCAGGCTCAGGGTGACTTTAAGAAGATATTAGGAGAAAAAAGGATTCAGGTTCAGCTTCAAATTTATTTTCATCTAGTAACATCAATAATTTATACAGTTATGTTTTGTACCACAGCACGATCAATTCAAAAAGTGGAATCTACTAAAATCGAAATATACATAAAAAGTAGTATACAATATATAGTCTTTAACAGATCCAGACTTTTTTTTTTTACCATTGTGAAACTGTCTAAATGAACAATATAATAAATAAAATATTTCAATAAGAAACATTTTTATTTTGTTATTATCATCTGTAGTTGTAAGTGTAGCATATAAATAGGATATAAATAATTACGGTTATTTTGCTCTGTTAAAATTCGAAGGTTTTCTGTGAACAAAAGGTTTAAGCTACCTCAGCCTCAGGATTCGTAGGGCAACTCAGATAAGCCAATGGTGTTTAACCAGCAGAACTTTATGTGGGTAATATCGGTGCCAGGTTTTGAGAAAGAAGAAGACAGAATGAAGTTATGAAAAGTGATAGCTCTTGTTCTGCTGCATCAGTTTTTATTTACATTTTTTCTTAATGCTGAATTGGTGGATTGTTATAAATATTTCCATGTTAAATGGTTTTGAAAAATGTGTGCTTGTCTGTATTTATTTGTATGCATGCTAATTGCACTTTAGGATGTTTTCATCAAGATGGAAAATGTGATATAGCCTGATTACCTTCTTTGCATATGAGTCTCTGCTCCTCTCTGGTGTCTGCACTAAAGACTCCATCTCCAGACGCCGATTAAAAATTCCATCACTTCCAAATTCTTTAAAATTCCATTTAGAAATAAAATTGCTAACCTCCATTAGTCCAGGTCAAATCTTCGGGATGCAGCTGTGTACTCTCTAATGCATGGACCACTTCCCATGTGCCATGTGCAGAACACTGTAGAATGTGCACCTGTTGGTGTTTAAGTTAGTTTCTGTTTATTCTGAAAAGAGCGTTGACCGTGGTGTAGATTTATGCATATGGATTAGCATTATGTGTTTAATTCCAGATGGTAGTTTAATGTAGCGCGAGTCAGCCAGCTCAGAGGGGAAGGCAGTCTGCACTTGTAGATAAGGCTAATGTCTTTTACTCGAGCTGGGGGCAGGAAGTGACTGTCACACTGGAGACTTAAACTCACTGATCTGTCTTTGCAAAATCTGTTATTTCACACCCAAACTTCAACTGGGTCATAAATACCTGTTCAAGCTTCCAAGGGATACACATTCATCAGGCTTTATCACCGCAAGTAGCTATTTGTCTAATTACACTTGTCAACTGCAAGGAAGTGGAATCCATCCTGTCTAATTATTGCTCCCATAGGCAGCAGTTCCAGAGAAATATTTAGAGCCTTTTGATTTTTTTTTTTGCATTGAAACTCTGCATGAGAGATTCACATGATTGGCGTGAGCAGTAGTAAACAACTGAACTGTGTGAGTTTTAGTGACGTAAGTTAAACTATGGACAGTTTTGTAGGATTCTTTTTCAAAAAATCTGTGCATTAGGTATAAGATAATAAATGTTGGATTTGCAGGTAAAATAATACCAACAGTGTCTTGGTTAGAACCCAGATAGTATACAGATGCAGGCCACTTCAGGCAATGATGCAGCCCTTCTGGTCTGCTTGGGGTCTGAACAAAATGGATGTTAAATAGCAAACATGCAGTGCTCTCAGCAAGGTGTAATCTGGATGTGGCCTGTGGGGTAAAAGGCGAATATGGCCCAAATTGCACAAAAGTGCTTGGCAGCTTTTGTTGACGTGTGATGTTGCTATGGTTTGCTTTTGGCCCAGATCTGGCAAACAGGAGCAGACTGCCCAAGTGCCATCATTAAAGCAAAACCCAAATGTTATTTTCCATGCATATGCCTCCATGTTGACATAATTACTTGCCATTTAAAGTCAAAACCTTAAGGCATCAGCAAGCTGCAATTTAAGATATTTTTTTGTTCATTCATTATTCTTCCCCTGTGCTCAGGCCTCTTTAAACTGCATGCTGTGATCGTTTTGGAGTATAAAAGGTGTCTGCAGCATTGAAGGGTTTGATTTCCAATGTACCGTGGATTTCTGAACCTTGTAGTGCTGCACATAAGGTTGAGCACTTTCAGTATTGCATGCATACACGGATACGCACACTTTTTCTGAATCTGCCACTTCAGTAAACTGCTGCTACAGGGATTGAGCATAGCCTGCATGCTGTGCTGAGACAAATCTCTTCGATCTTTATTCACGTACACACATCCACACACACACACACACACACACACACACACACACACACACACACACACACACACACACACACAGTGGGTAAAGTTTGTTCTGCTCCAGGGTACAGCCTTTTGTGGGAACCGATTAACCCTTTTTAACCACATCAAAGTAAAGGTTCTTTTTTCCATATGGGGGTGTTGTTGGAAACGCTGGAGGTTGTTTTTGTGCACATATTTATTTGTGTGTTGCTGCCGCCTATGCGTGTGTGTGTGTGTGTGTGTGCGTGCGTTCTGCATGCATGTTTTGCACCCAAGTGTGCAAGCCCTGGCATGGCCTTATGCTGCTCAAGCCTCCTACTGTGTGTTGAGAGACTTTCCTCCTCCCCTCAGTAAGAAGCAGAAGACTGGAGGAGATAAATGTAGAGGGAGAAAAAGGAAAGGAAGAGAAAGATAAGAGAGTGATGAGAGGATGACGATGTGGGTGGGGCCCAGTTCTAAATTATTCCTGGATCTTAGAAAGTGAGCGTCAGAGTCCTAT